CCAAATTCCTTTGTTAATATCGAATTCAAATTCAAGAAATTAGCCTTCATAATTGTGTGTTATTTGACAATTGAAATATTTAGGTTGAAATTGTTTACGGATCTCATTATCTAGCTCAGAAGCACATGACGGATACTCTTCTTCTTGTTGTTTCTTTCAATTTGTAAATCCAGTTGGAGGATTTGACATGTTCTGTTGCCATCGTTTTAGTTTCAGAATCATGGTTTCATTTATTCGTACATCTTCTCAAATTAAAAACATTTGATCCTCAATGAAGGTAAAAGGTCATATTAGAGATGCAGCAGTTCCCAAATTGAGATAGCAGTCAAGTGGAACTGCATCTGCTTATGGCTTGCTTTTCTAATCAATATTGCAAATTTCAGGTGGCGATACTAAGTGAAATGAAGAATTCCGAGAGAGCATCAGACAAGTTGCTGATGGTGTACTATCCATTTCTAGGATTCGCTGTTTTAGCAATTTTACGTGGTCTACTACCTCATTCTGGCAAGAGTGCGAGCATTGGAAAAAGATCCGTTATAGGCAGGAAGAAGAAGGCTTAATCTTTCAACTCAGAAGCTTAGAATTGAAGAGTTTGTATTTCTTTAGGCAGTGATACCTACAAACCATATCAATTTTTGTTATTGGTTCTTTTTAGTTGACATTATATTTTGATGGCTTGTGCACGAGTTTTCACGTAAACAATCACAAAATGAGTTTTAGTTTCACAAGTGCTGATGACATTGTTAGTTTTAAATCTTGATATAATTTCCTTCTCGTTCGCAACGATCTGCTGTTGCATCTTCAAAGATCAATTTTCTTGCTAGAAAGTCTAGCAAAGTACTATATACCAGAAATAGGAACTCCATTTGAGTTGTCTAAAAGACTATTACAATGTATTTCGATTGGATTAACTAGTTTCTCAACAGTTGATTTTGCGTGCTTCAGTAGCTGACACTTGACAGAAACAAAAAAAATTATATTTGACGGCATTACTTGGCGGAAAATTTGAACTAATGGAAATTATTCAGGAAAATATATGGGATAGGATTGCTAATTGCATTCGAGATGTAGCTGGAGTTGAGGTGATGGGTCTCGACAGGTAAAAGAAAGTCATTTTTCTTAAATTGGAAGGAAAATAAATTTATTATAAAAATTGTTGGAATATTAACACCCAGATTTGCCTAAGAAATAGATATATTCCATCTGTTCCTTTATAGATTAGAGCAACTATGTTACCTACTTACGTTATGTAAAACAAATAAAGTAATGACACAATATTTTATTGTGGAAAATTTTAAAAAAGAACTGCTTCTGGATCTACTCATTATTGACTAGTGAGCGAGATTTCAAAGGGAAACATTATTTGCATAATTAGCATTACTGTTGAGTGGCAGTTGCAAAGAGACGAAGACGAAAATGGGTGGTTTTGTTAAGCTATTGGACTTGCTTCTTTTCATCTACTTCTTCTTCATGGCCATTGTTGCACCACTCTTTGATGGTCAAACTGCCCTTCCTAAACACATATTTCACCCTGTGTTGGTTGACCTAAAGAGCTGGTACACTCAAGAATGTGGTGATTATTTGGTTTCTGAGAAACCCCATTTCTTTGTTGGGTTAATCTGGTTGGAGCTTCTCTTTGCTTGGCCCATCTGCCTCCTTAGTCTTTATGCCATTGCAGCTGGAAAATCTTGGATTAAAACTACCTCCTTGCTATATGGTGTTTCCACTCTCACTTCAATGGTAAGAAATTTGCTTATTGTTTATATTTGGGGCTGATTGCAATCTGTCTTGTTTGTCTCTGGACTCTGTTAATTTAAGATTAATAGATTGTTGTGCTAGCTTCAAATTGTCTTGTTTTTGTGGTTGATGTTTCATATATCAGTGGAATTGGATTTAAATTAGATTGAATTTGATAACATTATGGGATGAAGCAGATGCATTCTGGGTGAATTTTTGCTTTGCTTGCTCTTTCCCCCTCATAAGATCGGATTCATCAGATAGCTCTAGTATATTCGAATATAAGTTGTATTGACATTACCCCTAAGATGAAAGATTGTAACTTTTGGACCTTTTATGGTTAATGGAAATAATTTGAGAAATTAATGTGAATGATAGTATGCTGAGGTTGGGAGTAGCGGGAGTTACGAGAGATAGAAGTAGGCCGAAGAAGAACTGGGGGAGGTGATTAAACCTGACATGAGACAGCTTTAGCTTAACGACAATATGATCCTAGAAAGGAAGGTATGAAGGTCGAAGATGAGAGTATAAGGTTATAAGTTAGAGAGTGTGGTCTCACTTTATGTGGGATGGGCAGGGAGCTAGCCTCCTATCCTTATTAGTAGTTTTTTTAGTCTCTTATTCTTCCATGTGTATTAGTATATGTTGCTTCACTTGCTTTGCTTTCTTGTTTTCATACTTGCTTACAATCTTGCTTCGAAAACTTCCCTTTTGAGCCAAGGGTATGTTGGAAACAACCTCTAAAGTCTAAACCCACAAAGATAGGGGTAAGGTCTGCGTACATCCACACTCTCCAAACTCCACTTGTGGGACTACACTTGGTATATATGTTGTTGTTGATGTATGCTTGGAAGTTGGAACTCTATTTTCACCTTATCAAGAAAAGTTGGAACTCTATTTTACCACTAGAGTTTCCATTTCGATTTGCAATGTCAAGTTCTTTATCTGGTTTCTTCTCTCCAGCTTGGCATCATGCCACCTTGTTTCTTTTACTATGATTATCTTTACGCAGTGGCGAATTTACAGCCAAAAAATAGAGTACCCGCACCCGTGGTCTCTTCGTAAAATTAGATATTTTATATGTATATTTTTTAAGATTTTGTATAATATTATATTCTTGCACCCGTACTACAAGAAGTCTAAATGGTCCACATGGTTAAATGTTGAGCTTTTGACCTTGAGGATTAAAGGATCAATTCTCACTTCAATACATTTTACTTGGTGCACCCATTTTCGAAAAATCCTAGATTCGCCTCTGTCTTTACGTTTTTTACCTTAAGTACTTAACTTGCTTTTGAGATAAGAGTCAAGTGGAATTGCATCTGCTTATGGTTTACTTTTCTAATCAATGTTGCTAATCTCAGGTGGCAATACTAAGTGAAATGAAGGGTTCCGAGAAAGCATCAGACAAGTTGCTGATGGTGTACTATCCATTTCTAGGATTTGCTGTTTTAGCGATTTTACGTGGTCTACTACCTCATTCTAGCAAGAGTGTTAGCATTGGAAAAGGATCCACGATAAGCAGAAAGAAGAGGGCTTAATCTTTCAACGAATTGAAGAGTTTGTATTTCTTTTGGCATTGATCTTTCAATTTCGACTCCAGAAACCATATCAATTTTGGCTCTTTTTGAGTTTCCCTAGCTGATATAAAGTTATGATGCTTGTGTTGTGTATGAATTTTAAGGTCACAAGTTCGAGCCCTGCACCAAACAAATTAAATTCAGTATTTAAGTGGACAAGGATAAAAGGGGCCGAACCCATCATCCTTAAGTTTCAAAGGCTGCTTAGAATTGGGATTTTTATATGTATAATCCTTGTTAATTGCATGTCTAAGAACTTGAGATATAATGGTTTCTAACAATTCCAAATTATAAGTCAATATAGGAAACCACTATGTAATTGTTGACAAGTAGTCTCTAAGCTAGTCAATACAGTTTAACAAATATGTCCATTTAACAAATATGTCCATCAAGCACTTAGGTACAAATGGACATATGTAATGTAACACACCAAACTTGATAGAAAATTAATCCAATGTTGAAAAGGACATGAGCTCCCAAGGCTTCGATGAGTACAATTATTCATGGAGTTGAAAAGTTTGTTGGAGTTTTAAATCTCACGAATTGTTCCTGATTTAAAAGCAAGGAACAATTCATGGGGCTTAATCTTTTTTATAAACTCTTCAATTCTAGCTTCCCGTTACGCATTTTAACGGTTGAGAGTAAGGGACAACAAAACATGGGTCTAATACCATGCTAAATCCATCACCCTGTGGGATTTCACATTTCAATTAATTCTTAGAGATTGCCCCATGCATGTGGATAGTGAGGGTCTAGTATCTGAAACTTCATTTAGTGACGAAGACAAAAATTTAGGTAAGAATATTCAAAATTTGTTTAACTAACAACTTTTAAATTTTATTCTTTAAGACTATAAAATTAAATGACTTTTGGTACATTATACATATCTTTAGATAAAATAATTAAAAAGTTAAAGAAATCTTTTTAAAATAAATATTAAAAATAAAATAAATAAATTGAAACAAATTATAGCGTTATCATTGTCTCCACCATACTACTAGAATAATTCTTCTTATTTTTATGGAATCGTTTGGTAACAAGTTATTTCAATAGAGATTAATTATCTTGAGATTAGTTATTCCATCCTTAATGTGAGATAAAAATAACATTATTCTCAAAATAAATTACTCTCGCAATTTTATTCCAACTAAATATTAAATAAACTCATCTTAAAATTAATTATCCCTAATCTCTCCTATTACATACTTCTACAATTCAACAAAAGATGCAAGAAGAAAAATATGCTAGTAGTACAAAACTATAATTTGACTGTAACTCATGACAAGTCAACAACTTCAAAACATCAATATGAGTTGTGGTGTAGAGATCTTAATCAGATATCTCGAGTTGAAGCAAATCTTGTTTGGAAACACCACCCAGTTTAGATTCTATTATACGCAATATAAATTTAATCAGAGCTCAAATGTAAACATCAGACACTAAATAGAAACTAAATAAAAACAACTTCAAAACAAATGAAACAAATCTTGAAATACATATAAGGAAAAATACTTCAAATTGAACAGGAAACTGCTAAGAAATACCAAAGTAAACTAATCAAAATTCAATTTGTACAGAGTAATATTCCAAGAAACTCTGCATTTGTAAGTTGTTACCATTAGATTTCAAATACTACTATAAATTCAAACCCCCCCAATGGCCCAATAGAGCATTTCTCTCCATATAACTATTTTAGCTTCTACTACTACTTTATTACTACTATTCTTGAAAATAAAACAAAATGGCCTTTTCTTCAGTAAAATATTTTGGACTTTCCACAACTTTTGATCCCCTACATAAAAACCTCTTTAGTTCAAAACCTTGTGTTTCATCATTTTTTTCCAAGAAAATTGCCCTGCCAAATTGTGACAAGGCCAATAATATTATGTCCAAAAAGCCTTTATATATTTCAGCGGTGAGTGGATTTGGGCATGTTAATGAATCAAAATCTAGGGACCCTTTAGTCCAATGTAATGCCTATGAAGCTAGTAGGCCACCAATTAGCATTGAATTTGATGAAGAAACTCAGATTGTTGCTGCTCATAAATTCAAGATTGGGTTATATTTTGCAACATGGTGGGCTCTGAATGTGGTATTCAATATTTATAACAAGAAAGTGTTGAATGCTTTTCCATTTCCATGGCTTACTTCAACTCTATCACTTGCTGCTGGCTCATTCATAATGTTAGTTTCTTGGGCTACAAGAATTGCTGAAACTCCAAAGACTGATATTGATTTCTTGAAAGCTCTGTTTCCTGTAAGTAAAATGATCATACTCTGTTTTTCGCACTAAGAAACATTGAATTCTTATAATGTGTTTGTGTTCAATAGGTTGCTGTGGCACATACAATTGGACATGTTGCTGCAACAGTGAGCATGTCAAAAGTTGCAGTTTCATTCACACACATAATCAAAAGTGGAGAGCCTGCTTTCAGTGTTTTGGTTTCAAGTTTGTTTTTGGGTGAAACTTTTCCATTGCCAGTTTATCTTTCACTTGTGCCAATTATTGGTGGTTGTGCACTTGCTGCTGTTACTGAGCTCAATTTTAATCTAACTGGTAATAAGTTACAAATCAATCTTGTTTTAGTGATTATGCATGTGTTTTATATATTCGAAGCTCACTGGCCTGACTAATATAGATTTGCATCACATAGAAAGGGGTAGTGGCGGAGTTAGGTTTAAGGAAAGGGATTTAAATCTATGTTGCTCGGACTCTTCAAAATGTCAAGGGGTGCGTGTCGGATTCGGCAAAAGTAGTGTATTTTTGGAGAATCCGACACGTGTGCGGCATCGAAAGTGAAGAGTCCACGCAACTTAGATTTAAATTGAAATAATATATTACTATAAGTAAACGGTTGAGTTCCGCTTGCTTGTATAAATTTTTGGATCCTCCGCTAAAACCTCTACTTCTAATTAAGGGTCGAGGGATATCATCCATACCACCACACTCGTTGCCAGGGGCGGACTTAGAGGTAGTTAAAGGGGTTAACCCGAATCCCCTAAGTGAAAAAATACATTGTATATATAAGGTATTTTTAAGAATTTTTATATTCTATATATTGATTTTGAATCTCGTGAATGTAAGATTAGAGGTTGACTTAGTGTTCAAGGGGTTGAAAACTCACCTTGAGGTTCCAAGTTCAAATCATAGGCATACTACTTTTTTTTCAAACCCTCTTAATGAAAATCCTGGATTCTTCACTGCTCGTTGTCGTCAAATTTTAGACTAATTATATGAGATTTATTTATTTTGCTAATACTTCATAACATTCAGGGTTCATGGGGGCTATGATATCAAACTTGGCATTTGTATTCAGAAACATATTTTCAAAGAAAGGGATGAAAGGGAAATCTGTTGGAGGAATGAATTACTATGCTTGTCTTTCCATGATGTCCCTTTTGATTCTTACACCCTTTGCCATTGCTGTTGAGGGTCCAAAAGTGTGGGCACTTGGATGGCAAAATGCAGTCTCCCAAATTGGCCCTAATTTTATATGGTAAGCATATTATCTTACAAACTTATAGTAACATTATTTAATCTCATTCTGTTTGGTCCTATGTTGCTCAGACTCTTCAAAAATGTCATCGGGTGCATGCCCCATGTCGCATGTCGGATCCTTCAAAAGTAGTGCATTTTTGGAGAGTCTGAACAACTTAGGTTTGGTCAATTCTTTTAAAATTCAATATTTTTATGTAAATTTTTTGTTCTTGTTTTAGGTGGGTGGTGGCACAGAGTGTATTCTATCACTTGTACAATCAAGTGTCCTATATGTCCCTAAATGAAATTTCTCCATTGACATTTAGCATTGGTAACACTATGAAGAGAATTGTTGTGATAGTTTCCTCCATCATCATTTTCCAAAATCCAATTCAACCAGTCAATGCCCTTGGTGCTACCATTGCAATTTTTGGAACTTTCCTCTACTCACAGGTAATTCAAAATATATACATTCTTACTAAGTATATGTAATTGGCTTTTCATGTTACTCTTGGGACTAATAAAGATCCAAATGAATCTAACACATGTACAATTAGTTGTTTGTGTTCATCCTATGTACCATTAAAGCACTTCATACTTTGACAAACAATAACTACAAATTGTTTATGAGGAAACGTGTTAAAGACATAATTAAATAGATAAAAGTGTGTTTTCTCTAATAGCTTGAGTTTTTAGATGAGATGATCGCATAATATCAGCAACATCAATTTTGATACTTGTTCCTTTTTTGATTAATTTTATTGTTATGATTTTTATGCAGGCAAAACAATTAGAGAAGTTTGGCAAGAAGGATGAATGAAGAAAAGGGGAGACTCTGACTTAGAGAGTTAATAGATGGACAACAATGGACTAATATTTTGTAATTGAAGATTGATATGATCTTACATGATATACAGGATAAAATATTGACTAAAGAGAATTAAAATTTATAGTCGAAGAATGCATATAGAGAATAAACTTCGTAGCATGATATTTTTTGGAGAATTGAGAAAATTCAAGAGAGCTAGTTGGGCACAGTTCAAAATTCGATGAATAATAAGTTTTCCCTCTACAATTCATGTTGTGTGCTAACTCATACAATATGTGATGTGTTGTTTCTACTAAACGAAAGCTTTGGATGTATGACTATTGAAAATTATTTATTTTTGAGACGTGCCCATTAAACATTTCTTAAATTAGCCACAAAATCAAATGACTCTCTTTGTTACTTTTTTTATCCATGGTAATTTTCTTTTTCATTGAAGTTCTCTCTCATGGCTTCCACAATTTCTTCTCTCCATGTACTGTATATATCATAATATGTATGTCATACGTACGTCAATATATACACTTGACATACTCATGATATATAATAATATACATTGGCATACACAAAATATACAAGACATGTATATGATATACACATGATGACGTATGATTGGTTATACACACTTGTATATCGGTGTATGTACTTGTATGCTGTGTGCATGTCACAGTATATTGTACAAGTGTTATACATAACATATACAGTAAAATACACCCAATATACACTAGCCAGGTCAAAACTGGAATTGAAGTGGTCCTATTTTTACCCTTTATTAGACTCCGCATATTGCGGG